GGTAACTATGATTTTATAGGGTAATTGTATTAAAAATATGTGTAAAAATAGAAAAAATTGGAATAAATCGCAAACTATTAAAAATAGGTATATGACATAATAAAAGTTGAAGAGCTTTGTAAAATCTATCAGAAAAAATGGTAATATATAGGGTGTCCCATTTAAAAAAGTTAAGATTTTTTAATTTTAAGTAGTTGAAATTTATAAATATATTTTGAACACCCTGTATCATTTAACTAAAATATCTTTACTTATATCTTTTTTTTCATCTCTATAAAACTCTCCTACCAAATTTTGGTACTCCAACTTCAGAAACAATGGCATCACTGACAATTTTTTACCACATTGCAATTTAACATTTGTTTAAACAAATTAAAATATTACAAAAACTATTAATTTTAGGTATATAACATTGTATATAAAAAAGTTATGGAATTTTACGCAGAATCTAAAAATTCAATAAAAAATAGGGTGTAGCATTTAAAAAAACATATGTTATATCCGCCACACTTTTTTGAAGCACCTTGTATACTCTATAATATCATAATATTATATATTAATATAATATTTTTAAAATGTGCGTCTTAACCTTCCTTATACATTTTATATTATTTTTTTTTGTAAACCTCGAAACAAATGAGATAATTGTTATCGACGCCTATGATCCTTATGATAGGCAGTCATTTTCACGCCGTGCCTGCACCCCGTGACCGCTGATGTTTGCGAGTAGCGGAGTAGTAGGCTTTGGAAACAGTTGAATGTCAGAGGTTGTTGATTTCGGCCCAGAGAAGACATTGTTTTGTCAAGCTAGTTAGAATTATATTTAAACTATCAATTTCTGTTAAATATATTAATCTCCCGATTACATCAGAAGTGGCGATGAGTTTAATCCAGCGTTCTTAGGCCGTAACGGCGTATTTCTGACTTACTGACGACTATTGACTTGACTTTGACCTTTGAGACTATCGTTTTGTAAAGGCGTCGCGTCGCGTCGGTTTCGAGGATCTATTCGGTTGTCTCAGATACGGGTACCCGTCGGCGTCGGATTTCGGATACCGTCGTCGGATCGGCGAAGTGCAAAAAGAAAGCCGGAGGGATCATCCTGCTAGGTCTAGTGCTCGAAGGTAATAGCGAAAAAAAAGCAGTGCTGAAAAGAAGCGTCATATCACCCCTACAAGTTACAGACTCCGGAAGATAACAGGAAAAAGCAGTGAGCCAACACATTATCTGAACAAATCTCTTCTGAAAGGTATTTTAAAAATGGCTAGAAAAAAAATCGAGATAAATACTAATGTAATTACAAGATAAATTCTAAGGTAGTATTTTTATACAGTAAAAATTGTTGCCATGGAGACAGATTTGAGTTTAAAGTAATTGTTCGGATTTTTGGATTTCGGATTTCGGTGATATAAATCGCCTCGTGGTTCAAGAGGTCTCGAAGAGAGGGCGCTACCGTAGTCGGTTGATAAGGGCCGGTTTCGCTTGCGAAAGAAGATGGATGGGAACCTCGGCACAAACAGACAGTTTTTCACGTAAAAAGTAAAATTTTATTGTTAAAATTAAAAGGTAAATAAATATCTATCTATGGTCCTCCAGAGGAATAAAATTTCTAGAGTTATGTGTTATTTAGTATATTAGTTATGTTGAATATGTGTTATTTTATTCTCATTAAACTTCTTGATCAAGCCGAAACGTGGAACAGTGGTTTTCAAACATGATTTTTATTTTTTGTGCGGTGAAAAGTCGAACAGTAATTTAATAATTTCATTGTTTATTATGTAAATAAAAAATATATCAAGTATATACAGGTATATTCAAGACTTTATGTGGAAAGGTAAAAAAAGTCTCCAAAAGTTTTTCAGTTTTTCAGAAGTACCTACTATCCATTGTTTCATAAATATATAATTTATATTTTTCATATATACATTTTTTTAATTATACCCCATTTTACTTATTACTTATTTTATTACTTTAAGTTTAGTTATAGATATTATTAATATTTCAGCTATATTTTTAATTTTTCTTACATTTTACTGAAACTTTCAACTTTAGGTAGTCTAGTATTGCTATATCAGTAATATACTAGGTATTACATGAATGTACTTGGTAATTATCTTTAGTGATTAGAAATACTAGAGAGAAATAGTAGGTATGTAAAATTTAAAGTTAAACATTTGTGACATCAAACGTTTATTAAGGCATAATATTTATTATAGACACCTCATAATCCTTCTAGTACCTATACACGCATTTTCGATCTAATATTTGATAATTCAGTTTAAGATGCTTTAACGTAGTCTTTAAGAAAGTTATTTTGTTTTGTACCTATTTATGTAGTTGAATAAATACATGGTTGTAGAAAAGTTAAATAGGTTCCGAACGTCAGGTTTTGCAAATTCACTTGAGAATTATATCAAAAATTCACATAATTTATAAGTATTACATTAGTTTTTCAATTATTATAATATAATTTTAACCACCTCATTATATTTCAGAGTTTTTCAGTTTAATTCAGGTATTTCACTAGTATTTCAAGAACTTTATTCTTCGTATACGCCATATTTAATAGCAAATAACCCTTCGAGTAGTGTTGTAATAAATTAACACATAGTGAATGTTAAAAAAGTTGTTGTGTAAAATTTTGTAGAAGATGAGAACGAAGCGTTTATTAAGTACACAGGGCTACTTTTTAATAAAAGCGTAATTTCTTGTAATTAGAAATAAATGTAAATGTCCAGATGGGTAAAATTCTAGGCGCAAGAGTACTATTATGTTTTACTATTATATAGTGTACTATTATATAGTAATTTTCACAAGACGCTGTAGATATCTTAAAAACAAACTACTAAAGAACGACATAAAATAAATATTCTCGGAAATAACATATTGTTTCGGTAAAAATATGTATACGTATATAGTTAACAAAAATGTATAATGTAATATACAACTAGCAAATCCGATTATCTTAATCTTATATAAAATGCATACACTTTTCATATTATGCGTAGACAAAAATAAATAAAGCGGTAATATTATTTTAATTCAAAATACATAAACTAAGCTACCTAGGTATATACTTAAAGCTTTATGCGACGTTAATATATGAGTTTTACAACCCCGAATAAAGTAATAATTTAGGGATACCCTTTTACCTAAAGAAAACGAATACTTTCAATATAAACTAGCCATATCTCACTACCTGAATACTGTTTGACATCCACGTCGAATGGGACAAGTAGAGAGGCATAATCTCTAGTTTGTGTAACAAGTTGCATTACGATATCTAGGTTGAAAATGTTTCAAACATTCAGTTTGGATTGTGTGGAATCTAAGCACTAGGAGCAAAATGAGCGTATCTGGACAAGTTGCGTTTATCCCTCCGGGCGTAAATGATAAAGTCGGCGTTAGCGAGTTTCGGCGTAAATGAGTAGCGAATTATGCGAAATATCAAGCGGAATAAAAGAAAAATTGGATGCGTAGCGAACTATATTCAGCGTTAGATCTACTAAGGATCACTTCGACACAGCTAATAGCATCCCAATTAACTCCATGGTAGACAGGTTCATTTAAATTTCTAAGCAGCTGAGGATAGGTTGAAGTTAGAAACATCCTAGGATGGTATGCACGGTCAAAGAACAAAAGTACCGTGGAATAGCTAGGTTTGGCAAGCTATGGATTTGGTTATGGTAGATTCAAACGTGTATTAGGATAGGAAAAAGGAGTAGGGTTAGTTCTACCCGGTACTCTCTTTTTCAAGGTATACGTTAGTATGATAGCTGGAAAAGGCGTATGGTGGTTGCTAAGGTATGAGTTTACTACCTGGGCGCTTTGTGAGTAGGGCGGACAAGACTTGCGAATAGGGTTGTAGTCCCGGTATTCGGTCTGGTTAGTTCGACCCGGATTGCTCTCTTTTCCAGTGGCTGGAATAGGCGTGGGCCCATAGTTAGATTTTAGATTTTAAATTTTAGAATTTAGATTTTAGATTTGAGATTTAACTTTATTTTGTTGCAAGCAAGCTGCAGATTGCGTGTAACACCAATATATAATAAGTAATTCGTTTATTTTACCTTTTGAAATTTTCTTTAGTCCCTGAATAATTTATTTGTCCATCCTAAGTTTTTGAGTATTGTTTCTGAGTGAGTTACAATATTTTATTTTTATTTATTTAAGTAGCAAATAAGAGGTAGCTCCAGTATGAGCAGTGAACAATCTATCGATATTTTTATTTCAGCTTTTAAAAAATGTCCTTAAAACGATTCTGATTATGTTTCTCCTTTTAGAGTGATGTAACAATGGTAACAATTAGCTGATAAGGTTTTGTCAATTGGTTTTGTATCAATTGTCCAATATCAGCAGCAAACAATCTAACATATATTTTTATTTCAGCATTTAAAAAATGTCCTATAAACGATTCTGATTATGTTTCTCCTTTTAGTGTGTTGTAATAATGGTAACAATTGGCTGATAAGGTTTTGTCAATTGGTTTTGTATCAATTGTCTAGTATCAGCAGCAATCAATCTAACATATATTTTTATTTCAGCATTTAAAAATGCCATTTTAAAAGGTTCTGGTTATTTATGTCCTTTTAGTGTGATTCAGAGGAGTGAGGACATTCATAAGTCAGGAATGGCCGAATGTTATCGACGCCTATGATCCTTATGATCGGCAGTCATTTTCACGCCGTGCCTGCACCCCGTGTCCGCTGATGTTTGCGAGTAGCGGAGTAGTAGGCTTTGGAAACAGTTGAATGTCAGAGGTTGTTGATTTCGGCCCAGAGAAGACATTGTTTTGTCAAGCTAGTTAGAATTATATTTAAGCTATCAATTTCTGTTAAATATATTAATCTCCCGATTACATAATGGACTTTACTCTATCGTTGACTCACCCTGTACTCTTCTTACATACGGAAATCTCGACACAAGACTAACCTTTGCCAGCCATTAGTATTTTATTTTGTTATAGAGAGAATAATGTACGACAAAATAATTCTTCACTCGTTTTTATATTTTATTTGTAATAAAAGATGTAACATGAACTAATAAACATATATAAAAGTATCGTAATAACAATAACCAAGTTACATGCAAGAGCGGCATATAGTATTTACTCTTGATATCACAGTTTCTTCCAGTACTTCAAAGTGGATTCCCAACAAATTGTTATGATATTAAGTTTGAAAAATAAAAACCAAATAACGGCTAAGTAGAACAGTCCTTTACATAATTTATCCAGATAATAAAGCCTACAAATATTTATGCATATAATATTATAATAAAAACTTTACAACTTACAAATAATATTTGCAATATAAACATTAACATCTTATTTCTGCATTAACAGATTTTTTTACAGAATGTCGAACATATTCAAAAATAAATTATTCTATTTCACAAAAATTTATCAGACTATATTTACCCTTTGTTCAATGCCATTGTTCTAGGTTTAATCTCTTTACTCATATTCAACAAAACCCATCTGGTCGTTCTAAAGGAGTCCTTTATGTAATCGTATGTTTCCTTGTCATTTTTAACCATGTGGAACTTAAACTCTTCCTTTTCTGAACCTAGCATATCATCATTAAATAATTTCATAGCATTATCATTCAGGAAATCCCAGTCATGAGTCATAAAGTAATTCAGTGCGATATTTGATACAAAAACTTTTCTCTGTATTTTGAATAAGCTGAAAAAATCAACAAAACCGATAACTTTATTAATTTGAATATGTTTGTGTTGTAGATATATGATAATTCAGATAATAATTATTTATCAAACGAGTGTGTTTAATTTAAGTCTCCATTAATTTTTGAAATTGAATATAACAAATGTCTGTCTACATTCTTTTAGAAATAGTAGTATATTATTTAATTAAGTGTAAAAGTGATTGACGGACGAGCGTTAAGCCGAGGTTTCTTACAAAGCGGTAAGGCTAAGTCGTGTAAAAATGAGGCATTTTTCAAAACTTTTAGTTTTTTTCTCAGTTACAAGCATTTAGATATAAAAGTATTCCTTCTACAGTATGTTACCGGATTGTCTTTACAAGAAGAAAAAAAAACTTTTTTATAATTGACATTTTGAGAAAAATGCACTCTTCATAAAGATTTTTGATTGTTCTATATTCTAAAAAGGTTAATCCCGTTTGTACTTTCGGTAAGCCGCGGTTTCTTACAAAGCGGTAAGGCTAAGTGGTGTAAAAATGAGGCATTTTTCAAAACATTTAGCTTTTTCCTCAGTCACAACCATTTAAATATAAAAGTATTTCTTCTACAGTATGTTCCTGGATTGTCTTTATAAGAGGAAAAAAACTTTTTTATCATTGAGATTTTGAGAAAAATGAACTCTTCATAAAAAATTTTGCTTGTTCTAAAATGGTTTAAACCCGTTTATACTTTTCCAAATTTCCATACCGTTTTAAAGAAAATTAAAAAAAAAAACATGAAAGTATAGTTTCATTCATTCAATTTTTTCATAAGTCCTATAAAAATCAAAACGCTATGGAAATATAATCTCGATTTCATTCTTGGATGAATTGTTATTGATAGAATTTTAATTAAAGTCACATTTTTGCTGGTTTAAAAATGTTAAAGAAGAACAAAATTTATTTAGTTCATGCTATTGATTGATCATTTCATGAATTGATTATGCTATTGGGTGATAATAGTTATAGGAAAATATGATACTTTAATAATAGCAAAAAATATGACGTCAATCAAAATTAACAATAAGTTAAAAATAATCTTATCTATCAAAGAATGAAATCGAAATGATATTACCATAGAAAAGCCTTTAGATTTTTGTAGGATTTAGGAAAAAATGCAACTATATTTTCAGGTTTTTATAATTTTCTTTAAAACGGTATGGGTGAAATTTGGAAAAGTATAAACGGGATTAACTATTTAAGAACAAGCAAAAATTTGAGTGCATTTTCTTCAAAATGTTAAATAAAAATTGGCGCCGGGAGGCACGTATAGCCGCCCATACTAAAATATGTTAATAAAAAGTTGGTAGGCAGTTCTTTTAGTTTCAAAGTAAAGGAATTTTTCCAATTTTGGTCCGCGGTTATTTCCCCTATCCGCCACCTGGTGTCGCGTCCGATGGGAGTTTGGAGTTCTCCACACGGATTTTCTCAAAAACGGACTACGGAAACACGGATTATCCCCAAAACTGCGATTTTGACTGATTTTGATGTTATTATAAGTTTTGTTGCAAATATTATTCCTAATCTTAAATTGAAAACCGCGTTTCGCTAGCTACTACAATTTTGGAGTTACGATTTTTTTAAATTTTTAACCCCCTCCCATATACAATAGATCTGTAAGGTCGCAGTGATTTATCCCCCTCCCATTCATTCTAAATTCTAGAAACCTCCTTCCATACCCCCTTACCAGAAAATATTTTTAATTAGGTAATTTATGACCCAAATAACTCATTTTGAGTGAAATTAATTTTTTTTTGCCAAACCAGACCACACATCGGAAGCTGGTTCCTCGGAGGTGGACTTTTTTAGTGGATAATATTTGACTCCAGCACTGTCTAGAGTTCGTCTCTATGATCATCTCTCTCGAGATGGTGATGGGAACCAGCACCATTCGCCTATTAAAGGTTTTTTACCACCCCCTCACCAAAAAAATGCCTTTAAGTTGTCTCATGTTTTCCACTACCTTTGTCTCATTATTACCACTGTGTGTGTCTCAAATCCTCCAAAAAATATCATTTTATACCAACAGGATTTAATTTAAACGGACATGTCTTTCCAGGCCATGTTCCGTTATCTATCTAAGCACGCGATGACAGGAGTCAAACGCTTTCTACTTCATACTGATGTCACCTAACAAAAGTTTGGTAGTCAGTATCAAAAGTTTCAAACCTCAAAACGAGACAATAGATTTGTAATTTCAATTTTTCTTCACATCACACAAAGATTAAAGAAATTATGGGATTGATCTGTTAAGAATTACTATTAAACGTTGCTAACTAGAAAACTGACTGAATAAAACCACTTTTTTTCACCGCTTAACCCTAAGCCCGTGGTTACATTGGATGCGTGTACGTGCGTATTTTTGGTGGTACGTGAACGGACGTGCACGCAGCAAAAAACAAACAAATGGTATTTACGCAGGCGCTTACATTGCATCGGAGCTTGCGCGTCCGTGCACGTACGTCAATTTCCGTTGGTCGGATGAAAACAAACTGGTTTGTTTTTTTAATACGTGCACGTCCGAGCGTTCGAATTTTTATATCTCTGAGCCCAATACTTTCCCGAAAAATTTTAATATTTTTGAATACCAGGTTTATTTTTATTTAGGATATATTAATATTGATGGAAACATTCTACAGGGTTGTTCACCACATACGACACGGAGTATTGTAGCTAAATGATTAGATTTTTACAAATTGTAAGTTTTGTGTTCGTTGAAGGACTGTTAGAGCTATAATTTAAAAATATTTTTACAAGATACAGAGTGTCACAAATAAGTAAAAAATAATATAGTTGTATTTTTTTAAATGGAACACCCTGTATATTATTCTATTTTTGGATTCTACGATTGAAATAAAGGTAAATTTGATTAAGGTTTATCACACTTAAACCTTACCGTTTTTGAAATATTTTCAATTTTGTGAAATTGCAGTCAAAATTTTAAGGCTTCATTTCTCCAAGGGTATAAAAGTTTATAATACTAAATATTTACTGAAGATTATCTATTGATCACATATTGTACTGCAATAATAAAAATCTTACTACCTTATACAGAGTGTCCAAAAATTTATATTAAATAATTACTAGCTTTAAACGGCAATAACTTGATTAATTTAAATAGAACACCCTATATATGTTACGTGAATTAGATGCACAACGTAATTGCCTATCAAATTGTATTATACTATTTTTTACCCATCTCTTCAAGTTTTCGTAGAAAATGCATTTTCTTATAATTTAGACTTCATTTATCACTATACCCATGGAATATTGACATTTCAGATTTTTTATAGCACCATATAATATGTACAAAATTTACAGGTGGTAAATATTGCAAGCCCATTGCCCATTGGTATACAAAAAAAAACTATTTAAATCTTTGTAAAAGACTATACCCATTAAATATACCACCATTATTTCCGACCAAAAACACCAAAAATTAGTTAACTACATACTTTTAAATTGTTTTAATTGATAAAGTATTCTAAATAAATGTGGATTTGGCTGAGAAATCAATATAATAATAAGTTATGAAAATGAACGTCTCTGTTTTTATAAATAAAGCATTCGTCAAAAAATTAAATAAAATTTAGAAGGTGTAACTTTTTATCACACTGTCTAATACACACACAAAATTCAGTTTTTTAGTACTTGGAGCAATTATTTTTAATCAACGTAAACAGTCAATTAATGTAGTTTAAATACTGGGATCATATTAATTGGTCCTCTTTAACAAAAAATAATTAAACAGTTTTTTTAATGTTTCAATTAAATAAGCAAACTATATCGACAATATTAGTATCTGTACCCTTTGAAAATTTGTTACATCTTTAAAAATAAGCTAAAATATCAATATTCCATGGGTATAGTGATAAATGAGGTCTAAATTATAAGAAAATGCATTTTCTACGAAAACTTGAAGAGGTGGGAAAAAAATGGTATAATACAATTTGGTAGACAATTACATTGTGCATCTGATTCACGTAAAATATATAGGGTGTTCCATTTAAATTAAACGAGTTATTGCCGTTTAAAGCTAGTAATTATTTAATACAAATTTTTGGACACTCTGCATAAGGTAGTAATATTTTTATTATTGCAGCACAATATCTGATCAATTAATAATCTTCAGCAAATATTTAGTATTAAAAACTTTGATACCCTTGGAGAAATGAAGCCTTAAAATGTTTACTGCAATTTCATAAAATTGAAAATATTTCAAAAACGGTAAGGTTTAAGTGTGATAAACCTTAATCAAATTTACCTTTATTACAATCGTATAATCCAAAAATAGAATAATATACAGGGTGTTCTATTTAAAAAAACACAACTATAATATTTTTTACTTATTTGTGACACTCTGTATCTTGTAAAAATATTTTTAAATTGTAGCTCTAATAGTCCTTCAACGAACACAAAACTTACAATTTGTATAAATCTAATCGTTTAGCTACAATACATCGTGTCGTATGTGGTGAACAACCCTGTATAATATTCAAAAAATTTGACCGGTTGTTGTTTTAATTCACCAAATATTTTACATATTTATTTTCTTCTCCTTTTCTTGCATATAAATCATTTACCCAACATTTTCTTCTGTTCATAAGTAGTTATTAAATCTTCAGTTATTTAGATAGTTATTAAATCTTCAGACAGCATCAAAGTAGTGGCGTCCGCTTTGACAAACTCGACACACAGGACACCCTGAACACGCATCTAATGTAACCACTAAAATAAAATAGTCGTGCGAGTAAATTCTGTCAGAGCTCGCACGTATAAAAAAACGTACGGACTCGCGTCCAATGTAACCGCGGGCTAACGCAAAAGAGCAGCTGTAATTTGACGGTGAGTTACGCCTCAAAAAAGGGCATATTTACTTGCAGATCGGTGTGTATTTTGTATTTTGTAGGAAACCGAAGAGAATAAGTTATTTTTTTTAAACGACACAGATATTTTTTTAGATAATTTCAAATGTTGCAAATAATATAGAAATATTTCAAAGTAATACCGTATGATAAAAAAACGGCGTCCAGTTGGCTTGAAAATAAACATCGATGACATTCGCTACACAGGGAGTCCCAGAAATAAGTGCAAGTATTTTAGGGGGTGGTAGATCTCGATAAAAGAAACATATTTTCTCTTTATCGTTTTTCAAATAAGTCTAAAATAACGGAGTTATTTTACTTTGAAAATTTCCAAAAAAATGATTTTTTGCTAAAATTTTGAGAACCACTGGATCTTTTCTGGATTTTCTTTTTTGTAAATTTACTCTAATACCTATGTTGCATTTTATTAAGAAATTATGTTTTTTAACTAAAAACTAAAAAAAATTTAAAAAAAATCAAATTTTCAATTTTTTTTTTCGAGAAAAAACCTCATAGCGTGTTTCTGGGGTTGAACTATACTACCAGTTAAAATACTTGCACTTATTTCTGGGGCAACCTGTATAATTTTACATATAAAATGACAGCGATCTGCATTTCATTGCTGACGCCGCTTTTTTTTCGATCATATTGTATCTTGTAAGTAATTATATGAGAAACTATTGTTACAAGTCGTTGAATTTGACACCTTATGTCAGTTTAATTATTATATTTTCGTCCTTTTGTGCTTAGGCGTAAAAGTGCTTTACTTTTATGCCTATGAGTTAAAATTACTTTTTTAAATGTCAATCACGGTCGCAAAAATTAATGCTTTTGTGACGAAGAAAAAAATTAATAATGTAGAAAAAGTAGATAAATTAATAGCGAATCGTAATTTAAGATTGTGAGAGATTCGCCTTTTGTTTTATATATTGTTGTATATTGTTCCAATAACGTAAGTACATACAATGGTTTGTGTCCAAAGAGTTTTAGGAATAAATCAAGTAATACTGCTGGCATAAAATGAATTAAAATTGCATTAATATAATAGTAAGTCCAACATTGTGTAAATGTTATATTTGGATACCACATTTTTACATCCAGAGGGACTTCATAACCTGCGTCCATGGCTATTTTTGTAAAATGCTTTATACTGTACTTCTTCTGGTTGTAAGCGCTTGATTGCATTATTTCAACAGTTCCAAGTGATCTGAAATTATAAAATATACATATAATAGAACTAATACATTCAAAACCTTACAAAGTTAAATAGTTGTTTAAGGAGGTAGTAACGTCTATGAAAATAAAAAAAAACTGATTTTCTTTCTGATCTCTTTTTTGAGTGGAAAATATGGATATTGATCGATTTTTTTTATTTCATCTTCTGGTACTTCAAGAACCGGCCTCGAATGGATTTATATCAAACCATGTTGTATGCTAACAAAAGTATCCTTTACAGTTTTCTTTCTTTTCAACCGGAGATAGGCCGAGATGCGACAAAGTTAGACAACCAAATGCGACCTTGATTTGCTTTCCGAATAGTATAGTGGGTGTATAATCAGTTAAATTGTACAATTGGACTGCGCAAACTGGCTTGCACACTGCATAGCTCCTGTGTTAGAGAAGTGAGCTCTTACAAGTTGCAGTTATCGACAGTGGTCGTTAAAAATGTATAACAGTTTATTATTACTATACAACACTGTAAGAAGATTGAGGTACCGAAAAATTTTATGCAAGGTTCAATTTAGCAAAATGTGAAACTTTCTAAAATATAAAATAGTTTTTCTTAATTTTTTTAGATGAAACACTCTATAATATTCCTTTGTTAGATAGAAAATTTAAAAGTGCACATTTTTTGTATTTAAAGTATTTTTTAGCTTTTATAAAAAAGAACTAGGTATTTGATATAATAAAAGCATATTAGTTCCTAAAGCGTCGAGCTTAACCTTTGAGAGATAACGTGCCGAACCGTGACATAAAAGGTAACGTGCGGAGTAAGACTTATAAATCCGCACTTGTTTTCTCTCGAAATTTGACAAAAATACTGGGTAAATAAAATATTGCTACGCTTTTTTAGTTCTTATATTATTGTTTCATGTTTATAAATCATATTTTTAATATAAAAAAACAAATTCTTAAATTCTCATCAATTAAGTACATATTAACAAATCAAAAAATAAAATAGTAAGCAACAAAACCTATTCTTATAGTAACAGTAACATTTAGCTAAAAACGGCTTGAAAAAAAAAATAATTTTCAAATTGTCCATTTTCATTTGCAGTCAGAACAAATATATTTAGAATGTTCTAAGCAATTAAATTTTCTGCAACTTGAACATTTAAACCGGGTAGGTCTGTTTTTCTTTCTGTCGCACTGAAAACATCGGCCTTTTTCAGCCTCAGAGTTTGAGGCTGAAAAGGCCGATGGAAAGGAGCCTGCAAATTAGGCTCATCACTTATGCCCAATATTTCTTTGGCACGGATTCTGATATTTCGTGGAATCCTTGTATTCAACGCTCGTCGTCGCAAGTGTGCAATCGTCGAGGGGTTGTATTCTTGTAACCTGCATTACTTTTGTAAATAACAAATGAGTTAATGCCAGCTATATTCAAACTAGAAGAGAATATGACCATAGGCCATCGACGGGTCGGTCTGGCACAGTTATAGGCCTCAGACATCTTATCCACTGTATCAACACCGCCTTTTGTTCTATTATAATCTAAAATAATCGCGGGCTGTCCAGTTTTCTCGTCAATATAATCATCCTCGAAATGCATTGTAGATAACAGAAGGACAGCTTTATTTTTCCTGGGAATATAGGAGCAAATTGTCGCTTTGTCCTGGAATCCAAACATGCTGGTTTTTTCAGGCCGAGGTGCAGGCTGTGTGAATTCCAAAGGCAATTCCTTCCTGTTTTTCTTTATAGTTCCAAGAATTGTTAGTTTATGTTCAGTTGAGAGGGTATTTGCAACAGCCATACTAGTAAAGAAATTGTCCATTGTCACGTTTCTTCTGCTACCAGAAATTGGCTGACAAAGACGAGATAAAAGAGAGACATTATCTGTTTGGACTTTGTAGAGTCCAGGAGGTTGTTGTCCAACATAAATTTCCAATTTTGCAGTGTAACACATTTATGCATCTACCAAGGAGTATATTTTGATGCCATATCGATTTGGCTTATTTGGCATGTAAACTCGAAACCCACATTTTCCTCGAAATGCTGCTAACATTTCATCCACCGTCGTATACTCTGAGAGGCAAAAGTATTTAGATAAATTAGTATTAAATGCATCAAATACTTCACGCGGATTGGTGCCAACTTGTCATACTTCTGACGTTCCTCACGGGTAGTTGTGTTGTCAAAACGAATATGCCATAATAGGAATTTAAACCTTTGGAGAGACATTGTCAGGCGGAAAATCTCCATAGAAGTTCCGTTCGTTCTGAACAAATCGGCGGCATTAACATGATTATTTTTTGACATGCCTGAAATATAAAGTAGTCCAAGGAGGGCCTTCAATTCAATAATATCGGTTTGCCTTGCTGATCGATTAGAGGGATCAAAGTGGCTCATGCCAATAAAAATATTTGTGTTTTCAACAATAACCTCTAAAATATCATCGGGGAAAAAAAGGCTCCAAATCTCCATCGCACTTTTTTTCCCTCTTGCATTTGCCAGGAAGGCCAGGAAGGCATTTGATAATGTTTTCTGCACGAGTTCTTACTTGTATATTTCCAGGGTGCTTACGCCAGTTTGTCTTTCAATCTTTCCCCGTATAAAGCGCAGCAAGCTGTTGTCCCGTTTGTTCGTTTGTCAGCAGAATATTCAAATCATCAATGGTCTCAATTGTTTGGTCATCAACGGTGTCGTAATTTTGGATTTCTTCATTGTCACTGGTCAAACTTGCATCGTCGTCATCGGGTTTGACATCGGTATCTACCTCGTCAGAGAGTCGTTGAAGATATTCCTGTTCTTTTGCATAGTCCATAGCGCACTCTAAAAATACATAATTGTGCTCAGTAATCAAGCAAACACAAATAAAAAAAGAAGATACTCACATCAAGAAATGTTGCAATAAGGATAACCTGCGGAGCGTCACTCCGCAAATGACCAATATTCGAGAACTAATCAGTCTTCTAACCTCGCTATTTGACACTATTTTTGTAACGTCAAATGCAACAGCTACTCAGGCGCAGTACGTCAATGTCGGTAGAATTCGTCAAATATCGGGAAAATTCTGAACGCGCGGAGTCATGCTCCGCACGTTATCTCTCGAAGGTTTATGGATTCATTTATATTTTCAATTTCGTGAATAGGTAAATACTGTTAGATATTAAATTTACTATATAGATACTTATAACAATCCTGAGATTAAACGAATAAATGAGTCACCATTTAACTAATACTTTTATTAATTCTGACTTGTGATTCACTCATTGAGTCATTTGCTTACTTCCGTTGGGCTCTATTCCAAGCAGATAAAATCAATACTTTAACAACATTATCTACTGGTGTGCAATCTGATCCGATATTAGGATCTCCCAAACCTATTCTGAAAACGCCAAAGCCTGCCCCAACACATAATCCGTTGATACCGTTCCAATTGTCTATCCAACCTCTTAGTGGTTCATTTATTGCAGCAACAACTGAAAGAAATCATAATATTCTTATTTATAAAAGGTATTAATAAAGAAAATACATGAACTTGTTTCTCAACTCGTACTCCCCCCAGTTCGTTTTATTTGAAAAGCTATTTGTTAAGTTAACGGTAATTATATCTTAAAATCAAAGCTCCTTTTCTTAAGAATAGCTAAGATACGTTTATAAGGATTACCAATGATTAGATAAATTTGCTGTAAATAGTAGTATAAAATTAACGACTTGTTCAACCTCTAACTAAAATAAAATAGCGTGATCAGCTCATATTATACAGCACAAACATCGGAAAAAAATTGTAAGTAAAATGCTTTTAATTAGAGCGAATAATTGCTGTAAATTAGCCTTTAAAAAGCCGTAAAATAAGCTGTTTTCGTTTCGCAACTACTTGGATTCTGTTGTCACAGACAATGGGCACCCTCCACTGTTGGCAGAAATGCGTCGACGTCTCACAATGGCAAGGTTGAATCTTAGGACGAAACGTATACAAACAGTAAAAAATAGTTTTTTACGTGCAACAAATAGTTTTATACGCGTAAAAAATAGTTTTTATGTGTTAAAAATATTTTTATTTGTACCCGTGTCACGGCCGTCTCACTAGTTCGTGTGTCATGGCTTTGAATTTTTAATCCCAGGGCGTGTAAGGAAGTTTCAGTATTATTAAATATTATGTCCGCCTATAACTCGGTCTCATCTTAGAAATCACTAAAGACGCTACAGAAGACAAATCACTTTGTTTTCATTTGCGTTTTTGGGAGGCACGCCGAATGCTACACCCTTTTGGTCGAACCTTATACAAAGAAAAGGAATCGCGGAGAATGTTTCAATTTCACGGCTTATTTACGAATAATGTACGGAAATCACTTCGCCCAGTTTTAAGTATTTTATTTGTTGTTTACGTGCGACAACAAATTAAACAAAAAAAAAACATATTTTAGACTACTAATATGACAATAAATTAACAAAATAAACTTACCAATAGTGGGCCTTACAATTACTGTAGGTATCTTAGAAGTTAGTAGATCATTAATGCAATGCTCCGCTAAGTGTTTAGTATAAGTGTAAGTATTAGGAAAGTCTCCAATAAATTTATGTGAGAAGGTGTTTAATATATTTTCTTCTCCGTTTTCGGCAAGATATATAGCTTTTTTCCAGTTGCCTCTAGCTGGAAGCAATTTCTCGGGAACAGTCTAAAATAACATTTTTGATTTATTATAAATCATTATCAGAAAAAGGTGCTTCACGGGAAACCTTGAACGAATTTATTTATTAACTAACACTTTTCTTGTGCAGGTATGAACTGAATCTAGCAGATACTGTAATTTAGACTGTAGTTAATACCGTACCGAGAAAAAAAAACGATAATAAACAAAAATGAACCAACAAACCAAAACATACCTAACCAAAGCAATCAAAACACGCTGTAAGCTAAAACGCGTCTATTTACGAATTCCAATTGCCAAGTACTTTTAAAATCTTGCTATATTTTACAATTAATAAATAAAAATAGTACACTTCCGCAAGAAATTCTTTTGCGTGTCTCCGTTTAGAAAGATTTCTAGAATGAAAAACAGAAACGTATTTTCATGTACTCATTTTGCACTGTACGAATATGTACCCAGCTTTAAGATTAGAGTGCATTTTGCTGCAGTGCAACTCCTAACTGGTAGAAACGAGCAATCGGTGTCACATAGGAGGCATTGTAAATGTGCTCGGTGGAAGGTTACGTGTTTATAGAAAATAGTAGTGGTGGCTTAACCATGAGGTCAAATGGTCAATGCCCTCCCCCTCAGAAAAATCAAGAAAAAATTAGAAAAACCTAGTGTGTATTTACAAAAAGTGATACTTTTTGTAAATCACTTTTTTTCGTCCTAAGAAATTCAAAACTATTCCCAAAAATCTTTAATTTGTCCAATTTTCGCTTGAAAACGTTTTATTTTACACATTTTCCCTACTGCCGCATGCCGGTCAAAATTTCATTTTGTCATTCGTTCCCGCTATGCTTTACACGTATTAAACTCCAAACAAGGTAAGGTATACTACGTATAGAACATATTATGGGTTAAGGTGCGATAGATATAGATTGTATTATTGGCCATTGACCGCGTCATTCATAAAAGGATTTCAGTCATCGCTGGAAAAATTTCCCCGTGTGGGCAGTTTGGATGTTTATAAAAACTCAAATTATAAAATAACTTTTTGTGTCGTTTATCAATTTTTAGTCAATATAAAGCAATAATATATATTAATATCGAAAGAAATCCGATCTAGTTTTAGTTTGTCGAGTGTTTGAAGTGCAGCGCGAAATTTGTGTAGATAATAATTTTCTGGTTATGGATAAATGATGAACTGTGTTGACTGGTTCTGGAAGAGACAGAGATTTTTGTGACATTATTATTTAAGTCCTACCGTGGAAAATTTCTGTAAAGAACATTGTTTGGATTTTTAGTGAAATGGCACTAGACCACCTGTTTAAAAATGTAAGGGTAGGTTTCATTTTAACAGAATTTGTACTTATTTTTAGATTTATTTTCCTTTAACTAAACGTAGGTTTGGTTTGGGAACGAAAGTATCTCGTAGGAATCTAATTAAATTTGGGCGCGTCTTAAAAATCGACGCAATATTTTTAGATATTGACCTCCCTACAATAATGACCACGAACCGCCACTGGAAAATAGATGAGAGGATTTGAATATTTTGCACTGATTAGGTACAAACTACAGCTTATCATAGCCAGCTAGTCAACTCCGCTAGTTTTTGAGCGCTTCGCCTGCCCCGCCCGCCTTGTCTTGTATAGATTGTAGAATGTATGGGAGGGGCGCGACTCACTGGCGCGACTCACTGGCGCGACTCACTGGCGCGGAATCACCGCGACCACAGATCTATTGTGTGTCTTCCTTTCTTGAGTTATAACGAGTTATAACTCATCATATAGAGTCAGGGGTTTGGCAAAAGCCAATATCAGACGGTTTTACAAATGTTAGTTCTCCATCTTCGATATCAATCGTACCGAATCTCCTGACACGAATGGTTACCGTCTCGGTGCACTCAGTGTTGTCCTGAGTTGATGTGGTGTGTCCCCATTTTCCTCACAGAATCTGCATTCGCCATTATTTCTTACTTTCAATCTACTGAAGTGTTCGTTGATAGGACCGTGTTCTATTAAAACCACGTGACAATCGGAATATTGTTCTTACTGTCTCGTGCGTAATAACAAGACCATTGTTTTTGTACTATCATATAAACTTTAATCCTAGACTTATTTCAAGAAATGAACCCGCCCCAAATCCGGTAAAACAATCGGTTATTGTTGTAAAATGTTATAGTTCGTTATGAATGACATAACAGTTTAGAACAATAACTGACGCAAATTTCTTACACGAGAGGGTAATAACAATGATGACCTTGTACCTATAGCAAATTCATTATATTAGGACCAATGGCCACTCAAGAGATTCATGAAAATTTTATATAGGGTGCCCACTGTTCGGAAAAATTCTTTCCAGGTTTTTTACTGGAGATTTTCTCTCCGTGATTCTAACCATGCTAAAATAGGTTAATATGCTTTTGTGTACAGGGTGTTTTAAAATACATGTGCCATAAATCGTGGGGAGATTCGTCACCAAAAATAAAATTTATATCAATATAGGTCTGATTCTCCTTTGTTCTGTAGTTACAGGGCGTTGAAGTTTTCTTTTGTTTCGATTTTAGGTGTGGACACATTCACCAGGGACGCGCATATTGGGTATCACTTGAATATTTTTCTAAAAAGAAAGCTGTACGCTACTGAGTTTTTTCTCTTATTAGCACAATTATGTAGGCTCTTTAATGTCGATTAAAAGCGCGATGCATCGCAATGGCGCGGCGCCTCTTAGCCGCTCGTTTGCTTTTGTTATTTTAACGAACCACCCGCGCTCCATAGGTAAACCGCGCACATTTATTTACTCAGGTTTCTGGTGTGCGAGAAGAACTACGCAATTTTAGTGATCAGTGGTGCGGCTTTCTGACCCCTTCATTAATAAACATTATTCAAAGACAAACAGTTAAAAAGAGAATTTATTCAAAGAAACTAAGTCACAGATAAATGCCGCGCTGTCTTCATCGGCCGCGGCATTCAAAATTTTGCATTTATGCAAAATTTTATGCTATATCCAATTATGTACAGAAAAATTGAGGGTGCAATTTAAAAAAACTTTTTAAATTTTTCATATCTTTGTCAAAAGTATTTGAATTTTTTTTTGGACGGCCGGCCGTCCCAATTAAACAACGACCATACACGCATGCGGGAAAAACTTAAATGGCAGTGTTTTGAACAAGAATTGCCTGATCCATGTATTAGATGGCGCCACCGTCGCACAGTGGATCGAGGTATACGGAAATATCGACATTTGCTTTTGTTTTAGAACTATTAGTCTGATCAGAAATGTCCAATTCTGATATTTTTGACTAGAAATGACTATTAAGTATTTAATTTCAGTCCCAAATCTGGTTTTTCCATAAACTCAAGATGGCGGCTAAGTGTTTTCTAAAGCATGGATAATTTTTATCAACTTACTTGTGAAATATTTTTTATACTATTAACTTTGACTACTAACTAACAAGATTTCATTCCTCATATTTATTTTTAGTAGAAAAATTGCCCGACTAGCTATCAGGTAAAAAATATACGAGGCTGTTCGCGCTATTCAACACGGAGTTTTGAAGCCAAATGATTAGATTTGTGGAAATTATGAGCGATGGGTTTGTTGGTGGACAACTGAAGCTACACTTTAAAATTACTTGCAAAACGTACATAGTGTTCCAAATAAAAAAATATCAAAGTTGTATTTTTTTAAATGGAACGCCCTGTATATTATTACGTTTTTAGTTTTTACGATTAAAATAAACGTAATTTAATTCAGGTTTGCCGCACTTTAATCTTACCGTTTTTGAAATATTTACGATTTTGTGGAAAAACACTAACAATTTTAATGCTTTATTTCTCTAAGCATATTTATGTTTTTAAAACCAAATATACTACCTACTGAAGTTTTTGTATTCACTAGATTTTGTGTTGCAATAATAAAAATAATACTACCTCATACAGAGTTTCTATAAATTTATTTTACATAATTATTAGCTTTAAATGGTAATAACTTGTTTAATTTAAATGGACCTGTATATAGCCTGTATATTTTACGTGAATCTAATGAAAATGAGGTACTGTATGCAAAATTTTATGCTATATCCAATTATGTACAGAAAAATTGGGGGTGCAATTTTAAAAAACTGTTTAAATTTTTCATATCTTTATCAAAATTATTTGAAAATTTTTCATATCTTTAAAATATTTTTCATATTCAATAAAATACTAAACTTTTCAAAACCTCGTTTAATACTATAATAATAACTACTATTGCGAGAGATATATACATGCCACAAAAAACATGGAATACTCCCGCCCATAAACAAATATAGATACAATATTGTCAGGCTTACTTTAATTTATATACATATTACATCACACTTCCCTCCTACAAAAAAAAAACTAATTATACATTAAACGTTGCACTGGTTTCCCTAAACGTTTTGGCCGATTTTCACTGAGATCAGAATTAATATTTTCAACTTTATCAGGGGACGTTGAGTTTACAATCGAATTTTCTTGAGAAATTCCCTCATTATGACTTACGCCTTGTTCATCAATTAATTCTTTAGAAATAGCTGATTCATTAATAAAAAATTTCTTTATCTGGTTTAAATGACGCTTCCAAATAATGTCATTTAATGAAGGAATTTTTACCAAGTACATGCATTTTCTTATTTTTTTTATAAATTTTACCACGTATCCAAGTAGGTTTTTGGACATTTCTGTAATCCTTAACTGTAACATTTTCATTAATACTAAACTGCATAAATATATTGCCTCTATGATAATATTTTTGTATATTTTGCTGCTTAATGACTTTATTTTTTACATTAGTAGAACTCGCACAAAGTTGATTATCATTTTCAGGCAACAAATTACTAAACCTAGTACGCACTTTCCTATTAAACATCAACTGCGATGGTGAAACACCAGTCGTGCAATGAGGCGTATTTCGAAAATCAAATAGAAAATTGCATAATAACCTATTTAAATTATTCTCTACTTGAGTACTATTACTAGTTAGAGCGTTTTTAAGTGCAGTTTTAACTGTTTTTACCGCAT